AGTTCCAGGGTTCCCCATTCCCTTGGAGGCCACGCCCAAGTGACCCCACTTCTGACCTCTAGGTCTGACTTACCAAAGGTTCTTCTACATCCCAATAATTTGGCAAGTTGGGGACCACATCTTCAACACGTAAGCATTTGGGGGCATTTCAGATTCAAGCTATCAGAATATGATGTTTAATATGATGTTGGCAATTGTTGAGTTCAAATCTACAAGCTTGCTATTTAGTTGATTCATCTATATTTTGTTACCTTTTCCCTTATTTTCTACCTTCCTTTGGGCTGAATATTTGGAGTAATTAAATTTGTACCCTTTCTTGCTTTATTAACTGTATTTTTCTTTAAATTCTATAGTATGCATCCTTCTAAAGTCTCCTACAAGTAATATTGTGCCACTCGTGTAGTTTCTAACCATAGATTTCCACTTCATCTTCTTTGTACTATTGGCTGACATAAATTTTCTTTATACAACTATTACAAGCCACACAATACCTTGTTATTACTTTTTGCTGTAAGCAGTCATTTATCAATGAAAGATATTTAGAAAATAAGAAACTATTTTGTATTTGCCCATGTATTTTCCATTTCTGTTGTTTTTTTCCCTTTCAATAGATCAAGATTTCTATCTGGGCTTATTTTCTTGTACTTGACACATTTCCATTAATATGTTTTTCAGTGTAGATATGTTGGTAATAGGTTTTTCACTATATATATATATATATATATATATATATATATATATATGTGTGTGTGTGTGTGTGTGTGTGTGTGTGTGTTTAGAAAAGTGTTCTTTTTGCCTTTGTGTTTTAGTATATTTTATCTGATTACTGAATTTTGCATTGACTTTTTCCCATTTAAATCCTTGAAACTGTAGCTGCACTACTGAAAAGAAGTCTGCTATTCTTTTAAAGATTTGCCTTTATGTATAATGTATATTTTATTCTATTTCCATTTAAAGTTTTCTCTTTCCCACTGGCTCTAAGCAATCAGCTCACTTCCCTTGGTGAAAATTTTTCTTGTTTCTTGTACTTACAGTTTCATCAGCTTATTCTCTAGAAAAGATTATAATTTTCAACAAATTCAGAATATTTTTGACCAGTTTTTTTCTTCAAAAACATTTTATGGTCCTCTTTAGATAATCCAACTAAACTAATATCAGGCTACTTGAAGCTATCCCACAATGCATCAGTGGTCTGCTCTGTTTGTTTTTTCAGTCATTTAACCTCTATCTTTCATTTTTGCTAGAACTGGTGTCTTCACCATTAACTTATTCTTCATCATGTTTAACTTCCTGTTAATGTTACCTCCATCCCACATACTGTATTTCTTTATCTTATTCGATACCGACACCTATGCTTTCCTCCAACATCTGAACATCCATAATGTAAATATAAGAACCCTTTTAATGTGCTTATGTAACAATTATTTCATCTATGACATTTATACATATGCTTCTACTGATCATTTGTGCTGTCCTTTTTGGGTCATATTTTCTTGCTTTGCATGCTTTATAATTTTTGACTCAACTGTCACCACTGTAAATTTCACATTTTTGTGCATGGATGTAAGTAGTCTTGATACTTACTGAGATATCTTGTTAAATTACTTGGAAACACTTTGATTCTTTTGGAGTTTGATTTTAAGCTTTGGGATGTGGAATCAGAGCAGTGATTCTGCCACATGCCTGAGGTCCCAACCTTAAGGGCCCTAAGTCATGCTCCATGTGTTATAAGGTTTTTCACTGTGAGCAGCAGAAGTACAATCTGTTTTACAACCCTGTTGTCCCACCCAGTTTTTCCAGTGGACTCTCTTTCTCAGCCTTGGATTGTCTGCCTGTATGCGTGATCTGGGAAAATCTTACCTGAAAACCTGAGGAAAGTTCTGCACACATTTGTGGAGCTCTTCACCCTTCACCCTTCTCCTTGTCCCCTCCTTCTCTCTTCCCCTCCCTGGATCCCTCCTCCCCTCCTCTTCTTCCTCCTTCTTCACCTCTCCCTCTCTGTCTTCTACAAAGGGCTACCTTCTCCTCTGCCCTAAAATTCTAGCCACCTTGTCCTATCCATTTCTTTCTCATTGACTCAATTGAAAAAGTCCACCGGGTGCCACTGGGCTTCCCTTTCCCTGCAGTGCAGCCTGAACATTCTCTCAGGAGAGGAAGCACAATGCGATCCTAACTCCCATTGCTTCCTTTCCTTGAAGGGTCTTTATCTTGTGCTGGCTTTGTTCGGTTTTGAAAAACACAGAGTATATTTATTTCGTGGTCTTTCTTTAAGATGAGATGATAAATCTGCCCCTTATTACTTCATATTACTTCATGTTAGCAGAAACGAAAGTATCCACGCATATTTTTCAAAGGCATTCAAAGCTGCATATCTACAAATGTACTGATTTTCATGTGCTGTTTCTTTCTCCACTGTCTCAAATATAACTCCCAAAGTAATAGAACAGCATAGCATTACTTCTCCTCTGGTGTTTCCCTATTCTAGAAAGTATTGCCATCTTTAGCATGACAATGTTAAGCGAAATAAGTCAGATATGCAAGGTTAACACCACATGGCTTCTCTTGTATGTGAAACTCAAAAGTATAAATAAGGAACAAAATAAAAGATAGACAGTAGGAAGTAGGGCAAGCAATTTTTCAAATGAGACAGTGATTGAGAGGTGGCGAGAATAAGGAGGGGAGAAAAGGGATGAAAAAAGACTAAGAAGGGTCACACACGTACTAACTCCACACAAGAAATGTAATCCTTACCTAATGCAAACATATACTAATAAAAACTGAAAAAAGCAATTACTACCATTCAATCACACAAGCCAGTAACTAGAGGTTATCTTTTTATCCTCCCCTTTCCTAAACCCATTATCTAGTCACTGAATTCTCTCCTTTTCAAAGTCACCATCTTCATCCTGGAAGACAGCACTTAATCTGTGATGGATCACTTCCTCTCATACTGCACTGCTCTAATCCATTATTTATATCAAAGCAATCGTCATGTAGCCTTTCGCTAAAAACCACAAAACTTAAAATATAACCTTCACTTTACTTACTATATTTCTTGTAGTGGTATGGCTGAATGAATTCCAAAACTGTTTTGAATACAGAGTAGGATTAACCAAATATCAGTGTAAAGTACTGGATTGGGCTGGAACTACTAGTATTGAGACAAACTTATTACACATATACATATGCATGCGTATACTTATACATAAATATGTACAGGTGTGTGTAAATGACATATATGTGATGCATGTGTGTGAATGTCTGTGTTTGCTATTCCTCAAGTTCTGTCCACAGAGAAGTCATAGAAACAACTATTGTTGGTTATTACCTTATAGCACTGACAACACGTAACACTCCGAAGATTTATTCTAAACATAACCTCTCACAAAAAGATTTCATTTCTTGGGAAAATTGGCTGATTTTGAGGCTGAAGCAGGGAAAATACAAAATAAATCTAGAGTGTACTGTTATGACATATATTAAAAGTGTTCCCCCAAAATGAGGCAACCATATCAAAAGGAAACAGAAGCAGAACTGAATAGGCTCCTACAGGGCAAACATGAGCAAAACTTTTAATGAAAGTGAATTAACGACATCAGTGTTTTATAATCCATTGAGTAAAATAGGAGTGCATTCATACTGACAATTAGCTAATTAATTAAAGAGAAAGAAAGATTATTGCTTACAGCACAATGCCATCTAATAAATGCAGAGGAATAATAGAGAAAACATCATCTATTTTGTAGCTGTAATTGTTATTATTCATGCAAGAATAACCAACAGATGCTAAAAGTATTGAATACAAGTTGGAAGAGGAACATAATCATCTCAAAGAATTTCTCCAATAATTACTTTTTAATTATCAGTTTAAAATAGTAGTTTAGAGTGGATAACCTGAACATCTAATTAGCATTACCAATAATGGGGCAAACAGACATACCCTGAGCAAAATACAAGCTAACTCCTGGGGGTTTATTTTTAAAAATGAATGAGGGAGATTTGATTGACATTATGAAACAAAAGAATGTTGAATAATGATATCAGATTATAGGTTAAAATGACATGCCAATAAATATAAAACATAATCCTGGATTGAATCCCAAATCACAAAATATTGATAGAAAGTACACTTTGGAAATAATTTAAAAAACTGAATCATGGACTGAAATGGGAAAAAAGTGTTATGTTAGAGATTACATTTTCTGAATTTCTAACTGTAGTGTGGCTTTATAAAATGATATCTTCGTTCTAAGGCAATATGCACTGAAGTATGAGGGACAAGGAGGCATGATATGTGCAAGTGATTCTCAGATGGTTTTGGAAAAAGTTAAACACACGCGCTTGTATACACGCCATTTCAACACAGCCTGTGGCACGTCCTAATGCATTTATTTCATTATGATCGTGTCGCTGATGCTACTGAACTGACCATCAACTAAACTCCCACCTCGCCCAGGGAACTATTAATCTTCAGAGTACTCGGCTGACATGTGCTCAGGGTTGTGAGAACCATGATTCTCATCTTCTCCTGGGTCTCACTTGTCATTCAGGCAGGCATTAGTTTTTGTCACTAGAAATTGGTTTTCTCAAGCACTGGTATATAATACTCCACACACATTTGCCTAAGTAAAAATCCAGAGCCTATCAAAAGCACATTAGAGAGAATCAGGCACTAAAATGAAAGAGTCAAACTAACTTCTAATGCTCGGGGGAAAGAAACCCAGATTTACACTTGCCTTACTCAACGGACTATTCGTTTCATTTTGCCTGAGGACAGCCAAAAAGAGCATCTTTGCCAAGTTTCATTTTTATTAGCACATTGTCGGAGTTGGTACCTGCATATAACATATCGCAATTCTTTTTTATGTCGCCTTTCCTCCCTTCTCGCTTCCTCTCTCTACCTCCATCTCTTGATCTCATTCCAATTTGTTGTTTCCTATTCTGCTCCTTGACTTATATTGTGGGTTTCTCTAGAGGAGAATCTTCAAAGAACCACTGACCTCCAAGCCCAGGTCGCAGCCGGTTGTCATAGCCATCCAGAAGGCGATCCAAGATTCGGGTGAAGATAGTGATGTTGTCAGTGCTGTCTTCAGGAATATTTGGATGCTTAGGAGACAGGCTGGAGGAATGCAAAAACAGAAAGGGATAATGGTAATTCATAATAGGAAAGTTACATGTCTAAATATTTTAAGTCAAGAAGATTTCTATCAATAGACCAGACCAAATAAATAGCCTTATATCTTAACCAAAATAGACAGCAGTTCCCATCTGTCACAATGATTAACTTTGCAGGAAGCCAACCATAGGCAGTACTTGATCTCTTAGTCCAGCATTAGCATGAGGTTTACCGAATATGTTCCAGCTACTTTCCAAACAGAGAGACACAAACAAAAGCCTGGAACAGTCTGTTCCTGGGAAGAGCATCTGGTATACAGCTGATTCATCAAATTTTGTTGCATGAGTGAACAGGACTCAAAAAAGAGAACTTTTTACTGAGATATACCTTCATCTAACCCAGAGAAACAGTATCAGATGGATCCATAAATTATATCTAAGTCTACCCAACCCCTCACGTTACAGAGATGAGACAACCAAGCTCGAAGAGGCCACCAAATGTTAACAGTCCTCCAGCTTCCCTCAGCTGCCTCCTATGATTTATAAGTCTTCGGGTATTTCAAGGGAAAAGAGGCATAAGGTGAAACAAATGACTCTTCCCAAGGGTACAGGAGTATGCTGTAGAATCAGGAAATGGACCAAGAGCTACAAACCCGAGTCTTACTGTGCCCTATATGTCTTATTTGATGTAGACTGTTCAGCGAGTTACAGAAGTATATATCTATGGATCTCAGATTTTCCTATTCTTAACTTGGGCCCAGAAGTTTCACTTTAATGAATATGTAACTATTTCTAATATCTAGTTAATCGAGGCTGTAAAAGCCACAAGGAACCAATTAGGAAGTCTTAAGTGAAAGTCAATGTGCCTGTATTTATCTCTAGCAGTGAGCAAGACTCCTGTTCTAAAAAACCCTGAGGATAAACTCAAGGTTTTTATAGGTAAATGGATGCAACTTGAGACCGTAGCATAAGTGAATCATAAACCAGACTTGCATGTGTAAACACCATATTGTCTCCCTAGTGTAAGATACTGAAAGAGTAAATAAGGTCGAAAAACTACAATAGTTATTGTGAAATGGGAAGAAACTACTCAAAAGCGAAAAAGAACAACTGAGATTGGGGAGAGGAGAAAAGAAGGAAGGGAAAAGAAAAACACAAATGCAATATACTTCTCACTCTTAACTGTCATTCTTGACATTAAAACCTAGCAGAAGTCATTTTGAAGGAGTTCTATAGTTCATAAACATCATTCAATTCACTTAATTATTCAATGCATTTTATTAAATGCTAGGTGACTATTTTTGTTCTAAATGTTGTGATAGGGTAGAAAAAAAAATTAAGTAAGACAAGTGAAGAAATCCTTCCCTTGCTTAACTTACAGGATTGCCGAGATGACTACAAACTACACCCAGAGAAGGAGAAGTTAAAGGGTATCAAGATGTGCATTTGGGTTTATTAGCTATGCAACCTTAGGCAACCCATGAAACGCCTCGAGTAGTTGTTTTAGCAATTAAAGTAACTTGACATATGTCATATTAATATTAAAGAATACAATGTACTACAACTGCCAGAATTCATCTTTCATGTTTAGAAGTATTCAAAGATTGTTTTATCATTTTTAAAATAGTACTTTACGGGTTCAAATATAAATATTAATGGTGAAAAGCTGGCATCTCTAGGAGCCAAAGCCTTAAGGAAGACTCCGGCCAGAGAGGTACCGGGACCCACTCAAAAGCAGGATGTATCCCAAAGGGTAGCACAGATGTTTCACTGGAAACGGAGAAGAAAACTTGGATCCGAGTGCAGAGCTCACAAATGACATCTGCTGATACGAGAAACAAGGAGACCTTGTCAGGGGACTGTCCGGGTTCTGGATCCACCCAGTATGGGCTGTGGAATCTCAATGGATCTTATGAATATCTCTTTCTCATTACCCCCTGTCTCTCACTATTAAAAAAAAAAAAAAACCTTTGACCATGATTAGTTCATTTCTGGGAAACAGGTCTCTGAATTGAATGAGCAGACTTTTATTGGATTACTATAAATAAATTGAACAGAGAACCAATACAGAGAATGGGGAAAATACAAAGGGTTTCAGAGATTTTTCTATTCCAGGTGGATTTACAGATGAGGATGCTAAAGCCCTGAACATGACTTTTAATCAATCAGAACTAGTGGGAAAGCTAAAAGTTGGATCACACACTCCTAAGTATAAGGGTGATATGTCATGCCACCCTGAAACGATGGCTTCCATGACAGCGCATTTCTAACTCCTGCTGACTCTGTTGCTGTGGTAGCAATATTAACAACCTTGTCACCAACAAATTTAGAACTTGAGAGTAAGAAAATCAATGGTAAATATTACTACCAAAATGTTCCCCAAATTTTCCTCTAGGACTTTTCACTTGGTTACTGATGTGCAGAGTTTCCTCAGAGTTGGAAGTGATTCAATCCAGAACCCAAATCAGAACTCTTTCCTTTTCAAACACTGAACTGCAGCAAGATGCTGGATTCTGAGCCAATTCAAAAGTAGTCTGCAAAAAGAATCGTGATATGCCCAAATTTCCGAAGACCTTAGAGAGCATTTAATTCTTTCCCCTCGCTTTACAGAAAGGACAGCAATGTTATAAGAGAAAGGATTCATTCAGTCACATGCATATTATGTTGATGAGACTAATTCAGTGATCATGCCTATCATGCTCATCTCTGGAAATACTGGTTGGATTAAATGGAACAATAATTCTTTTATTAATGAATGAAAATTACATTACTAATGCACAATTTGTAGATTACATAGTTTTGTTGGTTTTCCATTCTTAAAGATGGGTTAGTAGTAACTTCACAAGATTAGAGCGGAATGACTAGTGAGAGTTCTGGTTCTGCCACTTACTGTGGTACTAACATTCCCCTTTCATGTGTAAGCAAATAGGTACCCGGGTCACACAACAAGCTGAAGAGAAGAGAAATCTGCTTCATTAAAAGGAAGGCATTTTCTCTAATGCTGCTTGTATCCTGGGGGAAAACAGATTTTTTTTAAACAATGAAAATTCTAACTTACTGCTCCCAAGTTCTCCAAAACTCTTCATGGTTTACCAAATAAAATGCGGACTTCTTAGTTGACATTCATGGCCTTCTGCAACTGTCCCCAATATACATTAACAGCCACAAAGGCCACTACTTTGCTTTCAGGCTAGAAATCATGGCCAAATCAGATTACTCACCATTTCCCAATCTCTCTCATGTTTTCATTTCCCTAGCCCAATCTTTCCCATAAGCAGAATGCTCTAACTAAAGTCTCAGCACTAAGGATGCTCAATAGTCCACATTTGAGTGAGTTTACAGAAAGCTCTTGGAGACAAAAAATAAGCAAAACGATTTTTAATGAGAATATGCTTATACATCTCAAAAAGACAGCTGTTCTTTTCTTAAATACTTAAATTTTCTTAAATAGATTATTTTCTATATAGACTAGTATTAAAAATAGAGAAGAGTTGGCTTGAGATAATACCCACTCAACATGTGCCCTACCTCTTCATGTTAACTTTGTTTGTTGAGTTAAAGTAAAACAAAGAGCAAGCTTTTCATTTCTTACGAATTTAAAGACTGTTTCACAAAACAAACTACATAGTAGCTGGGCATGGTAGTACATGTCTGTAATCACAGCATTTAGGAGGCTGAGGCAGGAGGATTGCCTCAAGTTCGAGGCCAGCACGCACTACATGGTGAGTTTGAGGCCAGCCTGAAACGTGCAGTGAAGCTGTGTTTCATAAAACAACAAACAACAACAAAAAATCCCCCCAAATAACATTTAACTAGTATGTGCTGTGAATAAGAAAATAAACTAGTAGACCTTAAGCATATGATTCCATTTATGTTCATAAACACACAGACACCCGCTTACAAAGTATGACTGACAAAATATAGTGAATGTTTAAAATTTGAAGGAATTTACTACAGTAAAATACACATTGCAGCTGCTCCCCCTCAAAATGTTCCTCCTCACTTGGACCACACTTGTCCCATCATTCTGGCCACTTTCCCAAACATTTCTGAAAATCCTCTTTTACTATTGTCTTTAGTTGAGCTTACACTTTCATGGTCATTTTGACTTAGGGAACAGCAGAAAGTCGCATGGTTCCAGGCCTCGTGGAAAAGATGGATGAGGACACACAGTTTTATGAGCCTGCCTTGCAGCTGATGACACTCGGCAGAAACATTCACCAAATTTTTGATCACACCTGGTGAAGATACTCACAGAAGAGGACTTCCAGGGCTGCTTGATAAATGGCATGACTGGCGGTACAAGTGTACTCAAACAAGGACAAATAGTTGGAGGGGAACTCATGGCAATGCGCCTTCCTAACGCACTTTTTATTCAAGCATTGGCAGTGTGTTCCAATCACCCCTTTTAAAATGTCTCATGATGCAAAGTTTGTGACAAAGTCAGCATACATTCTTCCTTTGAAACACTACCAAAAAGGTACTAGGTTTCCAGACAAGACCACACAAACCCCTGTCTCATAGTTCATCTGAGTGACGGGAACTGCAGCGCAGTGCACAAGTCCCATTTCAGCAGCACGTCTGGAAAAGGCACTTTCCCAGGCCAGCCGGAGAACCATTTACAACACTGGCTTCGTGGAGACAAATTGTTGACACTAAAGATGGGGAAACTGCAATACTAGACATAGTCTCTCCCACTTCTATGTGCTGTTTTCCCTGCAGCTGCAGTCTGGGCAACGAGCTGGGCACCTCTCAATCACTCCTGGTGGCCTTATAACGGAGAGCTTTGACTATCAGCACCTTAACCAATTGGTCAGCATTAGCAGCACCTAGACAACCCTGGCCCGCTATGACACCAAAAGCATCACAGCGTCATCTACACGGTGCTCCTGATCCTGACCTCGCATTTCCATCCTTGTCCTGCACTGCAAACACTACGTCTTCCACTTCAATAGGGAAAAAGTAGTGACAAAGTGTGCTTTTTATTCCACCAGGTGCTCGAAG